ACGGGGGCTGGCGCCTCACTTCCTGTTCGCACCTCAGGAGCGCCACCCACAGGAACCCGCATAGCCAATTAAAACTCACTGACGCCGTCTGTCTGAAAGGGACGTGTTTTATAATCGCTACGGACTCAATATAAGTCAATGCTGAATTATCTGATGCTGTTGTGTTCTCCACTCAGAAAAGTGATTGAAGAACAAGTACCAGTTTTGCTGTTAATCACTGCTATTGAGTATGCCATCCAATTTGTCCTAGTAATGGAGAACCAGGTTAATCATTTAATCTACTCTGAGTTAAATGGTGTATATTAAAGACACTAATAAATGAATGTTATTCACTTTTAACGCTGTTTTTTCCCCTCAGCTCTCATATGTGCATCATGTGTCCAGCAGAGGGATTTACAGCAATTTGGTTTCAGTGTGAACAGACTGAAGAGCTGATTTAAAGAAAAAAGAATGGGAAATGGATACTGAAACTGGATTACAGCAATTCGGTTTCAGTATGAACTGACTGAAAGGCTGACTTAAAGCCAAAAGAATGAGAAATGGAGACTGAAACTAGATTATAGTGATTTGGTTAGTGTAAACAGGCCGACGAGCTGATTTAAAGCCTAAAGAATGAGAAAAGGATACTGAAACTGAATAACAGCAATTTGGTTTCAGTGTGAACAGACTGAAGAGCTTATTTAAAGTCAAACGAATGGGAAATGGATACTGAAACTGGATTACAAAAATTCGGTTTCAGTGTGAACAGACTGAAGAGCTAATCTAAAGCCAAAATAATGAGAAATGGAAACTGAAACTAGAGTATAGTGATTTGGTTTTAGTTTGAACAGACTGAATAGTTGATTTAAAGACTAAAGAATGGGAAACGGAGACTGGAACTAGATTATAGTGATTCAGTTTCAGTGTGAATGGACCGAAGAGCTGATCTGAAGCCTAAAGAACAATTTCAGGACTGTTTTTAGTGAAAGTACTTTTCCAGTACGACGATACACATTTAATGCTGGCTGATTTTATTAACGTACGTGCATTCGTCTGTGTTCTGCGTGATAATAGCTCAGCCTGGATTATCACATTTATATCGAGCTTAAAGTCAACATGAAATCAAAACTGACTCTGTTTATTTTCCTAACACACAATCCTGGTATTATTGTGCAGCTATTATGTCATCAGTGCATGTTATTTCAAAAACCTTTGGTCATAATCAAAATACGATAACATGCTCTGACCCAAAAATTATTTTCCAATTGGGGTTTTCAATCTTTTAGATGCCACGGACCCCAAAAATATAATCATCCTCATGTAAAAGAACCCTATTATAAAATAAAAAATACAGATATATATTTTCATGTTTAAAGACCCAATTTTTTACTATAAAAATTAAATATGTATAAAATATTATTTGGAAAAAAATGTTATATTTCACTGTTTTGTTGTTGTTTTTTCTACTTGCTATAGTACTTTAGTTAGATACTCTTGGTTTATTTATGTATTTATTCATTTAAGTATTTTAGTTCATTTAAAATCTCAAAATCATTTAAAAAATGTATTTTAATCAAATTTATTTGTTCAATCTTATTATTATTTTTTATTTGTAACAGTATTTACACTGTTTTTCTGTAAACTTTTCCAAACTTTTCCAAAACTCTCTTACGGGCCCCTGGTGGAAAAAAAAAAAATCTTAACCGATAGCCAAATAGTTACCTGGTCATTTTTAAGACTACTAATGTAGGTAGTTTTTTTGCAAATAGTTAACATAGTAACTTAATGCTGGTTAATATAATGCAAATGACAGCAATAATAGCCATTCTGGTATGCAACATCCACTTTCTACCATCTACTCAACTCCCAATGGATAAAATACAAACTGAATATCCAGAATTATGGCACATTATTAACGTCGTTTCATGTTGACTTTATGACGTTGGCTCGACGCTTTGTTCTTCTGCTGCACAGGATCAGCATGCTGCTAATGAACTTACGGAGGGGTTTAATGTCAACGTTTCAGTCAAAAACACCCTACACCCTAAACGGGGGTACAATTCAGGAACACAACAGAACTAATGTATCTCCACCAGGAACAAACTCACTGTCCTCCCCTCGTTCCTCAAACATCTCCCTCCTCGTTTCCTTTCTGTTGCCTTCAATCGATGGATCTCGCGCGATGAGTTCCCTCACTGATTGTAACCGAGCTCCTTCACGTGCCTGTCTCACCGACAGTCCCACAATGCACTGGGGCTGGCGCCTCACTTCCTGTTCGCACCTCAGGAGCGCCACCCACAGGAACCCGCATAGCCAATTAAAACTCACTGACGCCGTCTGTCTGAAAGGGACGTGTTTTATAATCGCTACGGACTCAATATAAGTCAATGCTGAATTATCTGATGCTGTTGTGTTCTCCACTCAGAAAAGTGATTGAAGAACAAGTACCAGCTTTGCTGTTAATCACTGCTATTGAGTATGCCATCCAATTTGTCCTAGTAATGGAGAACCAGGTATATCATTTAATCTACTCTGAGTTAAATGGTGTATATTAAAGACACTAATAAATGAATGTTATTCACTTTTAACGCTGTTTTTTCCCCTCAGCTCTCATATGTGCATCATGTGTCCAGCAGAGGGATTATGATTGTCTTCACTTCACTTATGGTGATCAGTGTTATCTTTAGTCGGGCAATTTGACTCTTGTCTTATTGATGTTTTTCTCTAGCTGTTGTAGCTATGTTTGTTATGTAAAACTTACGCTGAAAACATTCCCAGAACATGAAACATTTCTAGATGGGAATAATTATGATTGAAATATAAGTATTTCATATTTAATATTTATATTGATTAGCCGTTTTAGGATATTTTCTTTCAGATATAGCTTAGACCTAGTCAGGTACCACCATTTTTGAATTTTTGACAGGAAAAAAATCGAGGCTGTAACGGATGAAGGAAGTAAGGAGTAATTAATGAGAGTTTTCATTTTTGGGTGAAATAACCTTTAAGTATTCAAATGGAATTTGCTGTTCTTTAACATACCAATTATATGCTGTTTTTTAACATACTGACGTTCAGCTGACGAAATGGCATCCCAGGGGGAAAAAAGGGACTTTAAGTAGACAAAACTCCATAAAACTGTTTTGAAAGTATCCTTCAGCTTCGTTTTCATCCGCGTTAAATTCCATATGGCTTTTGGACCTGATTAGAGTCTTTTTGTTTTTTTGTATATACATATATTCATTATGTATTTATTTTTTATTTTACCATGGTGAATAAGCGGCTGCGTAATGACCGATTTGAAAGTTCCTTTCTACTGCCACTAGAGGGCGAAACACGGCTTAACCATAGACTGTATAAAAACATGGACGTAGTGTGACGTCACCTGTAGAGTTCCGAAGATCGTTTTTGAAGCCCAAAGTGGGCGGAGCGGGCCGTCACCATCTTTGCAGCGCGTCACGGCGCGTCACTCCCGGATAATCGAAAATGGGCAAAGAGGCGGGGGCAGGTTGCTGAAGCCACGCCCACCTAGCTCGACGGTGGTGACAGCAGCGGCAATCCACCTGTCACTCAA